CTAGCGTTCTATTTGTCAACCTGGTGAAAAAAACTCTTTCTGAAACAAAAAAAAAACATTTTTCATCAAAAAAATCGATTTAAGCCAAAAGTTGAAGTTTGGTTTCTGAAAAACAAATAAACAAAAGTACAAAAAAGATACGGAACTTTCTAGTTAAATTTATTGTTCATTGAATTGGGCATGTGTGGCTTTTTTTTACAATTTTTCACGAACAATTTTTCAAAAGGGTTTTCATACTAATTTATACCGTCCTGTCTTCCAATTTGTCTTGACGCTTGCTATTAAAAACGATATTTTTGTTATGAAAATGAACTAATCGTTTTTGTGAACATTTAGTCGAAATCTTACACTCTATTTAGACAACATATATTACGTTGAGTTTTTAGCGCATAAAATCGAAAAGCTTCATCAGTGCCTTCTATTATACAATCAAAACTGAAACCTTTGGAAAAATTATTACAATTTTTTTTCGCTCAAAAACATTTTGTCGATTTTTGAAAATGTTTTGTGAGCGCCGGGAAAAATGTTTTGAGCGGTGAAAAAAAAACAAGAAACATTGTAGACAGAACAGTTAAACCAAATAGTATACGAGACGTCTCGTACATTGGGGCAAAGGGCTGCCCGCACCAAAGTTTGATGGATAAAAATCAATTATAATGGATTTTTGTTGAATAAAATGTTGTCTATTTCATCGATTATCATGGCAATTTTAAAAAAACGTGATGGATTTTTATTCTATTTGAATCAATTACTTTTGACAAATAAAATGCAATAAAATCCATTATATTCGATTATAATCCATTTTTGTTTTCAATATATTAGATCATTTTTTGTATTTAAAATCCATGAAAATGGAATAAATTTTGTAGATAACTTTGTGGATAAAATTCTGCAAAATTCAAACGAACACGTTCATCTAGGGGTGGCCACTAGATAATAATTTTGAAGTGGCCAATATGTACTAATTTTCCGAAAATTGCTCAAAAGGGCATTTTTGACCAGTTTTTTTTTTTACAAAATTTGCCTGCAGCGCTAAAATTTGTTCGAAATACGTTCTTTTTAGTGTTGTAAGAGTGCTCGCAAAATCAATTTGGCCAACCTGAAATAAAAATCGCTCATAACAATTGAGAATATAAAATCTTCAGTTTTGACTAGCGCATAACATCTTCATTTTTGAACAACTTTAGTCAAATTGCTTTTGAAACTCCTACGCTTAACAGATCTGGTAATTTGGGTTTAAACTCGGGTTTGGCGAAAAAAGCTCAATTGGAAGAACAACAAAAAGACGCAAAAGGTTTTAATATATGGATTATAGTCCATTATAATTGATGAAAACTGATAGATTGAAAATAATATATTATTATGGAGTTTTTATTGCTTAAAAATAGTATCGTTTAATCCTTTTTAATCAATAACAATCAATCAATTTTTATTTCATAAAAACTGACAAGGAAAATCCAATATAATTGATTAAAAACCATAAACTTCAATGCTGGTGAATGTTCCGACTGCTCTTTAACTGGCCGCGAAGGCTTTGGTGAATAAGGTAATGACAAACTCTGAATTTAGAGCTAATAAATGTCAAATTTTTAGTGTTCAAAATTTAGTAGGTTATAGAATTAATACGATCAACTAGCTTGCCTAGTCCAGCTAGCTTGGCTAGTTTGAACCGATTGTGTAGTGCGGGATAAAGTATTAATTAAGTGAGCAATTAAAAAAAGCTGAATCAACCATAAAATCATATTATTGTACGGGAGCGCGCTCCCCTCTTGGAAGAACGAAGCCTCAAGGCTCGAATCCTCCACCGCTAGCCATATTTATTTTTGCAATTAAGCCTAAGCTGTAGAGCGGCCATGCATATAAGATCTTCAATTTTGAACAACTTTATTCAAATTGCTTTTGATTATCCTACAGTTTGCAATATAAATCTCGATTTAGTAGAAAGATTAAAACTTTCTGTGAAAATCTTATTTTATTTGCGCAATTATCCTCTTTATAAGACTTTTGGACTTTTGCGAATAATTTTGGAACTTATACAACTTACACTAGGTTGAGGTCGTATGCGTGCGAATTTCGCGACTCACAGCTTTCAATTAGAGTTTCCGATTCGACTTTTTTGGCTTTATGTACAGACTTTTAGACCTGTAGTCATGTCTTGACATTGTGATTTGGGTCTGGATCTGAATGTGGCGCATTTTTCGAAGTCTGGACATAAATTTAAAATCTCAAACGAGGTCGGACAAAATTAATTGAATTGTTTCTACACGCTTAAATTTAGCGGTGAAAAAAGTGAAAGAAAGAAATTCTGAAAAAGAAAATTATGTTGTTGACTTAATGTTTTTTTGCCCAAATTGAACCAAACAACTTTTATTGGTACATGCGTTTGTACCAGTAACATGCAAATACGCGTTTGCGCACAAGCCCCGCGTGGCTATTTCTAACCGGAAAAAAATGGTTGTAAATCCCTGGTGCAGCAGCAACGGGTCTCTCGTCCTCACTCAGATCCCCCGCCCCCCCCCCCCTCCCGGATGAAGCTTGTTCTACTTGCTACTACTTTGGATTATCTGTTTTTGATCGAAAATAGTCAAAACAACTAATTTGGGTATAACACTTAGAATTTGAGCAGGTTTGAAAAAAAAATCAAAAATCGAGAAAAAAATCAAGTTAATCTAGTGGAGCGGGCTCCCCTCATGGAAATGCGAAGACTGAAAGATCGAGTCCTCCATGTTTCAAAATGCGAATTTGAAAGCAGCTAAATTTTTTGCTACGCGCGCTTAAAGCAAGTTTTTCTTCAGTCTGCTTGAAGCGCTCTTGAAAACAAATTCCTCCCGTCTTCCCAATCTATAGTCAGTCTATAATTTTGCGTAGTTGTGTTTTATTTAAATTGCCATTTTGGTTACATAAACAGCAATTAATCATTTTTGCGAGAAAGTAATTTCCTCGGTTCAACTATGGTTCCCAGCCATTGAATAAATGTAATTTTTTTGTTGCAACCAAGTTTAAAAGGTTATTTATAAGACCCAAGGTGTTGTGGAGCAAATATTAACTGTATCTGCAAATTTTTAAAGCAAATGGACAGTGTGAACACCAACCCAAAACTAAAAACTGCAAAGATGCGTATTATGGGGCATATAAGGCATTTTACCGTCTGTGTTCCAGCATTCTGCAGCCAATTGAACAGTACACACTAACCCAGCAGATTTTTGAACCTGGAATAGCAGGGGAGGAGGACACGGAGGGGATGGGAATGGGGGAGAATGAAGGGCAGAATGGGAGTGCAGGCGGTGTTATCAAAAGGGTCATCACAGTGGACTTGGGAGCATATACGTTTTCTGCATAAATAAATGATCAATCTAACTTTAAAAATACCTTTCGTGAGAACTTTCATCTCAAAAACGCCTTCTAAATTTGCTGTTGCTTTTCGGAATGGTGTGCCCTTCCGAGTGGAAAATTAACAAACTTGAGCAATATCCCAAAACAGGTAAATTTCATCGTAGACGTAGGAATACAAGGGATTTAAACTAGCTCGTAGATCTATGTAAAAAAAAAACTTGATTCGTCATTTTAAAAAAAACATCGAGTTGTTTTCCTAATCTGTAAACGATTTCTACTCGCTGTCAATTGAAGCTGAGATTATGTAACCTTTTGTCTCATTACGTGATTAAAAGATAAAGTTCAAAAGATTTTAAATTGGCAATGGATACAACTAATGAAAAATATGGAGCATCATCTGTAAAAATATATCAATTTTATTATAAAGTGCTGCTGAATAAATTTATAGTCAAAAACATGATAATACATTCTGCTATGGTTAACCAGGTGCATTATTGTTCCGACTTTCGATACGAAAGTAACGGAATATTTGTGCTCGGGATGGGTTTTTTTTTCTTCAGACAAATTTCGACTTTTTAACTAGCCATTTTTGACGGAATTTTTTTATATCATTCGAAAGCTATTGTTGTCCTTAGCTTGAATTTTAAAAGATATTTCACCTGTGTATCATTTTTTGTAAAGTTATGGGGGTTTAAAGATTGCCATTTTGGCCATTTTGGCCAATTTGGGACAATTAACGCGCGATAAATTTCGCGCTATTAACGAGTAAGCGCGGTTTTATCCGTCTTAGAAATCGTTTCAAATTCATTCAAGGAAGCTTATATGCCATAATTGATTTGTTAGGCGCACAAACAATTCGGCCAAAGACAATTCAGCCAATTTGAAATTCAGACAATTCAGCCAGAAATATAAAGACAATTCAGCCTGAGACAATTCAGCCAGTTTTACAAAACGCTAGATTCGGAAGAAAAAAAAATGGAATTGGAGTTATTTCTCGGTTTAAGGTCGCCGGTGGGCGCGCTACGCGCGCGTCGCCGCTTCGCGGCGATAACCGGCTCTAAATTTCGTATAGAGTCCTACCCTTTGGTGGCAAGCTCGCAACACGTTGGCGCGACTGCGGCGGTCACAATTATTGGCTGAATTGTCTTTGGCTGAATTGTCTGCATAGTTTTGGCTGAATTGTCTGAATTTCAAAATCCATCACTTTGTACTTAATATGACGTGTGGGGGGATGTTTGTACATAAAATTTCATATTTTTTCAAAATTTTTTAAAATTTTTCTTTTAGATTGAAACTTTTAATGTTATTAAGGCTCCATAGACCTTAAAAAGCAGTCGGAACATTCAGGGCTTCGCCCTGATACAAGCAGTTTTGTTAGCGTCTGTTTTTTTATGTAATCATGATAATCGGGTCTCAGGAATAAGCCAATAAGCAATTGGAATTGCAGTGGATTTTTATTTTCGAATTCTTATATATTTTTTTCTTACCTTGCCTCCCTTCCCCATCAAAAATGAAAAAAAAAATCACAACGAGATTTTACAGGTATACAAAAAATAGCCAGAAAAATTTATCAATTAGCTTTGCTTGGATGCATTGTAAGGGTGTTTTATTTTTTGAAAGATGGTTTATACTTTGTTTTTACAATTTTTTGGTCAAACGTGGATACGGGGGATTTGATTTTAATATTCTGAAGCACATTCAGCACAATATTGCGTTTGTTAGAAGTGTTCACGTTTTGAATTTATTCAAGTTTTGAGTTTTTTTCACGTTTTGAGTTTTTTCATGCTTTGCAATTTTCACTTTTTGAATTTTACTATATGAATGTTTTCACAATATTTGCACTAAATTTTGCGATGGGCTTCATCTTCATTTCACAGTATTTCTTATCAGTGCTTGTCAACATTTCACAAAATTGTTCGCGTTTAGGTTTTTTTCACAATGTTTTTTACCAATTTTTGCAATGAGATCGTTTGTTCATTTCACAGTTTAGCCTTGCTTCCTAAGTGACTGTTGCATTGGGGACAGAAGTGATGGGCGTCTTTGCAACTGTGGTCTACACAGAAGGGAATGAGACAACATCCAAAGGGCAGACCCAACACGCAGATTACTGCACTCAGTATTATAGTCCCAGCGCCTGAAACGAAAGAATATCAGATTAATAATGAGGACATTCCGGGTCGAATTTATTGCATGATTTATTCCAAGAAAAGGGGTTGAATGAGACCAATCTGAAGTACGATTGGTGGTACTCGTTTAGAACTATGGTCTCGCCGTTTGTGACGGGTCCCCTTCAAAAATTCCTTAAGAAATTTGGTCCCGCTAGACAACTTGAAATATGCTAGAAGTATAAGTCGATGAAACTAAAGGGAAAACTTAAATACATTTTTTTATATGATTTGTCTTTCTGATTTTTATATGGGACTATTGGTTGTTTTTTGGGACCATACTTCTAAACGAGGTTTTCAAAAGGACCATACTTTTTAACGAGTACCCGATTGGTACCTTAGTTATCACGGAAAAAATGGACCTAATCGCCCCAATTAGGAGGCCAACATTTGAAAAAAATGGGCTCTTTAATCCCTTTCCATGGCAAATCAAGGACCAAAACTTGGCCCCATTTGTACAAACAAATTCTTCCTCGAGGGACTCGATCCAAATCCTTGAGTACCCAAGACCTCTGTAACACCTTTGCTCTACCAATTTTAAAATTTACTGTTTTTTGGTCGAAAGAAACCAAAAATACGAAACTGAGTGCGTCCAATTTGCCAAAAATTGGCTTCATTCAGCTCCTTTTGCTAAAAAAAATGGGTTCTCTCAGTCTTTTTTTGAAAAATAAGGCATATTCAATTTCATACCGGAAAAACCAGGACCACAGAAAAAAGACACCAAAAAGGGGACCAATTATGATCCAGGTTTACTGAATTTGAGGATTAGGATAATAACGCCTGGTTCACGATAATATAAAAATTCAGAATTTTGTTAAAACAAATCAATTATGCAGTGAAAAAAAAGAGACGCGATCAATTTGTAAAAGGCGATAGTTTGTCACAGGTGATAGTTCGCAATAGGCATTTTTGGCAAGTAAGGCACTGGCAAGTAGAATATGCTTGCTTCGCTGCGCTTTTATTCGGCACGCAAGGAATACAGCGCGTGAATCAGTGTTCCCCTCTGAAACTATGGTAACGAAGTTTGGCTTGTTACGAATTGTCGCCTTTTACAAATTCTCGCTTCATGAAAAAACAACCATAGATGAGTTCACGCTAAGGTAAGAAATTAGGTTCTTCAAAATCAGAAATTGATGACAAAAATTGTTTATGTTTTTGTTGCGAAAATTATTAGTTAATTTAACAGATCTTGTCTGACTTTCATGTCATACAGTGAACACCGTTCAAGTTAGCAAATCAGCGTTATGCGTTAGTCAACATACAATTTTAAGCAAGTGAACAGAATTCAGATTTTGGGACTATCAGCAAATGATCAGAGCTTCCCACTATGAAAACATCGCAATTTGGATTCATTAATTTACCGGGTTTGAAAAAACTAGTTTTTACCATCTGCATTATGTTTTGCATCGTTGGTAACTCTTTCTCAAAAAAGTGGAGAAAAATTATTGCTACGCATTCTTAGCAATAATATTGAATTCTTCAATGTAACAGCTTTGCTGAATTCAGCTGCTTCGTACAGTTTTAGAAGTTTTCATCATAATTGCAGTTAGTGAAAATTGGGATTTTCAGACATGAAAAGAACTGGCAAGTCTATCTGAACTTTTGCTGAATTTTGCCCATTAGTGTAGTTCAATCTTAATCGTTTTTTATTTAAGTTAAGTTTTGTTAGATAAATCAATGGACTATTTCAACATGCCGCAGTCATCTTTTATAGTATCTGGCTTGAGGAGACTCACTTCATTCTGGCAAAATCATTACAATTGACCCTCCAACTCGATGGGAAGACTGGAAGGATATGTTTCAAATAGCATGATAGCTAAAGAAAACATCGACATTGAATATTTTAAAAATCCGTTAGAATGCTCAGTGCCCTTAACTCTAAAGACACTGGAAGAATCTGAAAAATAATCTCCAGATACAAATACAGAAAAATGGCGAAAAACGGGCGAGACATTTCTTCCAGTTTCGGCCCTCTTGAAACGTTAAAAGAAAGCTAATCGTTCTAATTTGACTTGAGAAATGAGAATGAAAATGAAAACTGACCGTTTTCTTTTTTCACTGTGGTGGTTATGAGTCTCTGACAGACGGGACATTGCATTGTGAGGGGGTGATGGGAGAGGGAGGAAGTGAGAGCCATCACTGTCACTGGTTGCTGGGGTTGGTTGCACTGGACCCTATAGAACACAATTATCGATATGCTTTTTTCACTACATTCAAAAGAAGCCTTTTAACACGGTGGCAATTTCTCACATTTGCCTCGAAAAAAAATTCTGACTCGAGAAATTTTTTTATAGCAGCATGGCTAGATTGCAGCTTAAATTTTGCAAAGTTTGAGTTTTTGAGGTCAAAATAGTCGAAATAAACCAAAATCATAGCTCAGATTACGTCAAATTAAAAACCTCAGAATAAACATTGGAAGGGTAACTTTTGAGATGAAATAATCAAAAAAAAAATAATTTCAAATATTAGGGTTCTGCATTTTTTAGTCCTTAGAAACAGAAGGAGAGCCTAATTACCTGTTAAAAACTCTCCTTCAAGAAAAAAATGCCCAGAAGATTTTTTTTCAGTGTTTTCTACTTTTATTTTAAAAAAATTGCTTCACATAATCAGATGAATGTGCAGCACTAGCATTTTAACCACCTACACATTTTTAATGACACTTTGCAAAGTTTTGTTCTCTTTAATGGGTGGGAATAGCTCAGTTGGTCATTAGGTAGGTGGAAAAGCGACTGTTTAATTTAGAGAAAGTTTGAAACGTGGGAGTTGTATGATTAGAGTTTTTAGGAGAACTAGTAGCATAAACAACTGTCAAACTAACGAAATTTTGAACAAGAGTGTGAGTTTCGAAAAAACTAAGGTCACTAATTTATTTAATTTGATCTAATAACAACACTGCTCGTATCAGGGCGAAACCCTGAGTGTTCCGTCTGCCTGTTGAGGTCTAGTGAGCAGTATAACATGAAACAAAGTAAACGTATAAAAAAATGCAAAAAAGTAAATTGAGATTTTTGTGAAAATCATCCCCCACGCGCCATATGAAGTACAAAAGGATAGATTTCGCTCCTTGTAACAAATCAATGGTGGCAAATAAGCTTCTTTCAACCAATTTGGAACGATTTTTTAGACGGATTAAATCTCCCCTTACACGTTAATAGCGCGAAAAATATCGCGCGTTAATTGTCCCAAATTGGCCAAAATGGCAATCTTTAAACCCCCATAACTTTACAAAAAATAATCACAGATGAAATATCTTTTCAAATTCAAGCTCACGACAACAATAGCTTTCGAATGATATAAAAAAAATTCCGTCAAAAATGGCTAGTGAAAAAGTCGAAATTTGTCTGAAGAAAAAAAACCCACCCCGAGCTTAAATCTTCCGTTACTTTCAATAGGAAAGTCAGAACAATAAAATTAGGTGATCAATTTAAATGGACTTCAAATCATTCTAACTTGATCTTTTTTGTTTTTTTTTAAGTTTTTTTCATGAGGTGTTTTCAGTCAAAAAGAGCCCTTTTAGTTAATTTATTTTCAGTTTAATCGATTTTCAATCATCTTTTAAAACCTAATCGTTTTATAGAGCTTGTACAAAGTTTCTTGAAAAATTTGAATATAAAATCATAAGAGAATTATTAAATCAATCAATTGGAATGTTGAACCAGTTTTGAATTGAAGAAAAGTTACAAAACATGTTTTTCTGTTTTTTTTTGTAATGATATCAGTTCTCAAAAGAACCAAAAAGAATACTTAAACGAAATTCTTGAGAGAAAACCAACTGTTTTCAATTTGTTTTTCAAAGCTTTCGTCGATTCTCATTGAAAAATTTCACTCAAAATATTGATCTCAAAATTACAGTTGAAAATTTTTCACTTTCATTTTCTTTCTATCACTGCTGGTGTCCGCGGATTGAAAAACCCCAAAGTTATCACTCTCAATTTAATAGTTTGCGCTACAGAATAATCCTCGAGCGATTGTAGATACCCAACAAGACTGCTCATATATCAGGGCAAAGCTCTGAATGTTCCGACTGCCCCTTAATCCATATTGCATAGTTTTTGGGAAACGAAAATATTGAAAATCTATAGTTTTTGGACAATAGCAAAGATCGAGTTTTAGTCGTACAAAATTAACACGACCGATTAGCTAGCCTCGATTCAATTTGGAACGATTTTGTTGTGCGGAATAATTCACCATGCATAAAAAATTTGTGGTACGCTCTCAACATTATGAATAGTTTCGTCAAAGCGCGCATAATTTAGTCCAGAACATGGCCGAATTGGCAATTTTCAAACTCCTAGAGCTTTACAAAAATTGATCGGAAGTAAAATATCATTTTACATTTGAGCTCGAGAAATCAATATCTTCAATCTGGCATAAAATTAAAAAAAAAAAGAACTATTTTTTCGATCGGTGAAAACTAACTGAATAAAAACCACGCATAAAAAATCGGAATAAGAACACTGACAGAGATATTTCTTCTGGAGAAATTTTTGCTCAGATTTTGTCCATAATTAATTACTAAATAAACATGAAAATTGTATAAGGCCTGACAAATTGATCTATTTACAACTCCAAAAAATTGGTTCAAGTTGATTTCAGTGAGCATTGCGTGGATTTTAGTAACAACTAAAAAAATCATCCGAATCAATTTTAAACGCCTCTTTATTCTCTTATTTATACATCTAGACCAAATTTTCCGGGTAGATCTATTCAAAACAATTTAAAATCCGTTCAAATTGTTAATGTGGTTATGGTTAATCAATTTGGATTTATTCAAAATCGATTTGACGTCAATATAAATTGATAGTAATCTTAAATATGTCAGTGAGGATTAGTGCGGAATTTCAGTCGCAAAACTGCACGTGCTCGACTTTCAAAGTCGAAACATAAGTCGAGCACTTCGACCAGAGATACTTACTGCGAGTACTGCGGTGGAGACAAATCGTCTTCACTTGTTGGCGCTGTTGCTTCTCCTCCAATCAGTCCCTCGTTTCCAATCATCAAAGGCGGGGGAGGGGGTCCCAACGAACATCTATCTCCATCATTATTTCCAACTTCAGCCCCACCCGAGTCTGATGCATGACCTGGGAGAAAAGGGGAAACCGCCCTATCGACTAAAACGATAGACCGAGTTCTCGAAACGTTAATCTGTCGAGCCGATTCGCCTGTACTTGTTTTGCTATGATCGCCGTGTGAATTTTCTACGTTCTTTGCTGAAATTTTTTCACTCGAATAGTTTTGGTTTGGATTGGGATCCGTTAGATTTTTGATGTTTTGGTCCTTTGGTTTTGCCGTTTCGCTGTTTGTCGCCTGGTTTTTGTTGTTTGTTATAATTAAATCTGGTTGTTGATCTGTAACAACAAACCCCCAGCTTGGGCTGTTCACAAATCGGGGGGATCGTATTTGAATTGTGTTTTGGTTAATTTCGAAACCATTTAAAGTTTCAACATTGGTGCTTTGCAAATCTTCGATCGAATTTTCTCTCGAACGCAACTTTTTGCCTTCATTCTTGCCTTTTTCTTCGCCTTCGTTTTGTGTCTCTTCGTTTATTGACTGAATTGTTTGATAATTTCCTGGTTGTTCAATTTCACTCGAATTTTCAGAAAAACCGGCTTCATTTCGCACAATTGTGGTCTCAGAAATCCTTTCATTCGACAATTCGTTTTGTTCACAAATGTCAGCTAACTTTTTGTTGTGTTCAGTTTCTTTTTCTTCAAGAAAATCTGCAGAGTTTGTGATTTTGTTATAAGTTGCATGCCGAGAAAGTTCTTTCTTTGGTGTTTCAGGGTTTGCGATTTTGTTGTAAGTTGCATGCCGAGAAAGTTCTTTCTTTGGTGTTTCAGGGTTTGCGATTTTGTTATAAGTTGCATGACGAGAAAGCTCTTTTTTTGCTGTTTCAGAGTTTGCGATTTCGTCACATGTTGAATTCCGTGAAAGCTCTTGCGGGATTTCAGGATAAAGATTTAAGGTCGAATTTTCGGATTCTAAAATTGGAATACTTCGGTTTGAGTCTTCATCCATTTGGAATAATAAAATATTCACACGATATTTTAATATCAATCCATTTCAAAAAACATGATCAATTTTGCATTGTCTCTGTTATTCTGGATTTGATTCCAGTTAGGAGACCAAATAAACTCGCATCATTGTAATTTGATAACTTGTTTTTTCCACCTGTTTGAATCATTAAAACCATTGGTTTGAAACAATTTTCCCGCTATGGCTTAATTTCAAATGAAATATTCACCTGAAGAAAAAATAAATAGCAGAGGTTGCACTCTTTTATCAGATTCAGACCGTTCAAAAAGTGCTCAGACGTTAGCAGAAATACTGAAATATCAGTGCTCCTAGAAGTAAATGTACGTTTTGGATTATAGCTCTGGCATTAAGTTAGCAATCTACCCTCTAAAAATGTGTAGCCTCCAGCAAATTATAACCCCCGCCCCGTAAATACAATTTTTATGGGGGTGGCTATAATTTTTTTTAAAGCGTGGGGGAGCTATAACGGTAAGGACTCGTAAATTGTTCCTTTGATTAAAGCATCTATTTTCAATCAATCAAAAATCTGGTTCGATCTCAGCAATAATGAAAAAAAGTAGAAACAGGGAAACTTTTTTCGGAAACGCGGAAAAATTCAAAGACCAATTTTCAAACTGAAACCTACCCGCACCGTGCTCCCATGGATCCTAAACGATTATAGACTGAAATGAAGTAACTTTATTGTTTATGCCAAATTGTTGTCAATTTGCATTTCGGTCAATGAATTTTAACGAAGTTAGTTAAATGGCATTAAAATGTTAGTTAAATGGAACTATTTGGCATTCAAATTTTTTCTCATAGTATTGGTTTTCTCCAATGCTTACATTTCATCAAAATTTTCACATTAAATTTTTCAAATTTCTAAATAATTTTTCATTTCTATAGTTTTAAAAATTGAGTGTTGTAACAAAAATCATGGTGGTATAACATTACCAACCCAATTAAGACCTTGTTCTTTTTTGAGCTCAGAGACGTCTGAAAACAGGCAGAACATGTAAAATGACGATCTCCCAGACTGGGTTTTTTCAAGAAGTGATTTATAGAATTCATATCGATCAACGTGAACCGAAAAAACGAAAGAATTTTCAAGTAGCGAAAAAATACAGCAAAGAAAACTATGGGGGTTGATCGAAACACGTCAAAATTGGATTTAATTTTTTGCTTTCTTTAAATTACATGTATTGTTTCAGTTGTGGAAGACTAATGACGCAACGAATAATTATACCCCCATAACGTCAGAAAAATTGATCACATGTTAAATATCTGTTTAATTAAAGCTCAGGATAACAAAACTTTTCGAATTGCTTGAGAAAAAAAAACACCCCGAGTACTCACATTCCAACCTTTCTTCGAAAATTGGAGCAAAAATTAGTTTGAATAAGTATAGTTTGAAAATGTAGGTTAAGTTATAGGTTTGAAACTATCAGAAAAAAAATGCATTATACTGATAAAACTACATTATTAGGGTCATGGGTTTGAAGACGGGCAAAACTGAGTCGGACCAATTAAATATTGGAGAAAAAATCACTAAGTGTTTGTATAGTAAATCTGGAGGATTCAATTGAGATAACAAAACGTAGTCTACAAAACAAAAACTCATAATTGTATATGGTTAGCTTAGGTATTTTTCTTGATCTCACTCCCACATTTGGTTTTTATATATGCTCGTTTTTTTCCAGTTGGGGTCACCAATGGTTTGAGCTGGCATCGCAAAAATCGTTTATAGACGATTCAGTGGATGAAATTTGGTTTTCGATGACAGAAACATTCACCAATGGAGAGAGGAACAACTTCATAGCCAAAATAATTGAGTCGGCAGAACGAGCTAGCAAAAAATTTGACAAGTACTTCAGCGCACTCCTACCCAGTACACACCGAACAAACAAGATTCCCCAATAAAATCATTTCTTCAATCGAAAGTTGCAGATTTTGCCTGAAACACCTGATTTGTCATCGTGTGCGCAGACAACAAATATCCAAATATCCCTGGAATTGAGTTTGTTCGTTATCGAAGTTTGTTTTGATTGTATAGCGATTTCATATGTAGCGCAGTCCAGGCTCAAAATTTGCTCAAAGAACAAAATCAGCCATTAATACTTTGTAAAGAGCTGGCTTGCTTTTTTTATTTGAATGGTTAAGATAAACTAGATATGTCAAAAAATAAACTTTTCCAACAAGGTTTTTTTAAGTGAAAGCATCTGAGTCATATAGAAAAATAGGTTTCTTGTGAGTATTCTATCTGATTTTCAAAACATCGTTTTAGGTAACGAAATTCTAAAACAGAAATGCTGGGAAATTCATGCCACTCAACCTAGTATTTTTTTGAGAGAGAATCTCGGTTTTATTGTTTTAAGACAATGCATGGGCAAATAAGCAAAACTTTAAATCATGGGAAAAAACTGGTCGTACAGATCGACTCATGACCATACAGTTTCATCATGGAGGTTACTCATAAAAAACCCATATAAGGACTAAGTTATTATGGGTGTGAAATTTACGGACCATAATATGAACATTACGTGGCTACAATTTTTAAGAGTCGGTGAACGTAGTTCCGGGGGTATAAAAATGATTTTTTTTTTCGTTTTGTTTTCAGGAAGTCTTTGCATGGTTCAGGCTCAAATTTACTTTGGAAAACTCCACAATTGAACATCAAAAGAAAAACAACGAAAACCCTCTTTTTTCCTAAGTTTCCAAAATTGGGTTAGTTTTATCCAAAAAATGTCAATCAAAAATTGTTTCAGAAATTCAAAGAATTTTTAGGTCAGCTATTTTCTTCTGAAAAATTCGAAAATTGAAATTTTTTTTAAAATTAGTCATTAATTTTTATTTCTGTTTGCTTGCGGTCATTGTCTGTTGGCTATGTTTGTCAATCTGGGCTCATTTAAAGACGCCATGTCCCAGATTTGTTCTATGTTTGTCAACTTATGCTCATTTAAGCAGGTCATATCCCTGATTTGGTCAGGTGTACAAAGTTTAATAATTGATACCTTTTCTGATTCAAGTGCTGCGTTATCGAAGAGTTAGAAAAAAAAACCTTTTTTATATCCATATCTTTGCTGGTTTTTTGTCTTTCATCTAAAACTTCTGCTCTCAGTAACAAAAACTTGAGCTCAATTTACTAAAAATCTTTGAAAATTACATTGAAAAATAAATCATAGATCAAAAAAATTCTTAGACTCACCTTTGCCAAATTAATTTTTTGAGAGTATCACTTTCATTTCTTGTTTAGAAAATAACCGAAATATAAAATTGAAAATTGATCCAACGGATCGCCCCTTATTTTGCGTGGACCGCAACCGTTAATTTACGTATTTCGCAAGTAGAAAATGAAAAAACTCTTTTCTGTTATATGGCCAAAGTTTCTCCAACTGTTAATTTTGCTGTTGTTTGTTGTTTTGCTGTAGAAAAACGATTCCAAGGATTCAGATTCGAGTATTTGAAATCAATATTCAAAAGAACGACAAGAAGCGGCTTTGGGTTTTAGAACAGAAAAGGCTCAAAAATGGGCTTTTACTTCAATGACGTTAGAAAAATCAAATATGGAAAGGTCAACGAAAAAGCATATCGCGCATATAAAGTTTCACTGCGTGTGTTTCCTTCTCAAAAGTAAAGCTCTTTTTCTAGAGAAAGTGTTGAACTCTGCTATCCCCTTGCCACCTTTGACAATTCGACTGCCTCAAAAAAGGCTTAAATTGATTACTATTGTGATAAACAATCTTTTTGTCATGGTCAAATCTCCTAGAAAAAAATACAAAAAAAGTTCTGAGTTTCCAGAGAAAATGCTATGCTTATATTTCTTTTTCAGACTTCCATTTCATGCAGCAATTTCATCAATGTATTCAATAACTATTCTTCTTACAGGTCTTTATCTCATAACGTATTCAGAAATTATTGGTAATGTTTGGTTATGCTTGAAAAAAGAAACTAAGTTATGTGCACAACAAAAACTCAATATCTTGACAAGCTTTAGTTTTGCCAATTTTTCCCATCGCAAGGACCCATCTTTTCTTACTAATAATGTAATCATTCCAAATGTGTTTAGTAAAAAAATGGAATAAAAGGTATTCTTTGACTCCTAAAAACTTTTCTTAAAATTTTTCGAAAAACATTTTCTAAGAAAGTAATTTTTTGGTGTCCTTAAATGTGTTGAGGAAATTGCTCATTTATTTGCTATGAAACGTTTGGTGGATGTCTTTAAAATTCTTTAAAAATTTTTGAAACTATTACAAAGAGTCTTAAAGATTGTTGCAAGTTTTCACCAAAAATCAGATTCCTCTCGAGCTGCCGGAGCTCTCTTACACGTTTCTTAGAAAGCTTTCAAGTAGTTTGGACGCTTAGGCACCATGAAAAAACCGGAAGTAATTAAATTTATTTTGATATCTTTGATAAACCTTCAAGAATCTTCAATATCCTGGCAAAATTTCCAAGACGGCTGGATCTGGGGGTGTCATGCTTGTAACGTCAATGTAGAGTTTTCTGAAGTTGACATGGGTTCAAGTGTTTACATCAAGTTTTTGTGCAAAGGAAAGCTTTTATGGCTACCCGCACTCAGTAAAAAGAGAAAATAATCGATTATAAGATAATTATAATCGTATTTTTAGCGAAATTATAATTAACTATAAGCGCCAATTATAATGATAAAATTTTGGTGACATTTTAATAAATTATAATCAATTATAACTGATTATATTTTTTCCGAAAATCTCTTATAATCTCTTATAATCTATTGTAATCTATTATAGTAGATAACAATCTCTTTTTCTATCAAAAAACTATTTCACAAGAAAAATCAATTATAATGGATTATAATTTAACTATTCTGTATGATAACACAGTAAAAAATCAGTAAACCAGGGGCGGATCTAGGATTTTGTGAGGGGGGAGGTTCTTCTAAGCTCTATAAACGTTGAGTAGATTGATTCCAAGCTCTCCTAAAGCACTAAAAATCCCCTGTTTCGGTCAAATTTTTTGCGCAAACTTTTGAAAAAAAAACGGGCCAAAAACGGCATTTTTAGGCACTTTTCTGAAAAATTTGACCAAAAAATTGCTTTTTTCCGGTGCTCACCCCCTCAAAATTAATATATATTAGGCGCCCTTAAAATGTTTAGGGTCAGTAATCTAAAAATGGATATCTCAAAGTAGTGGGAAGAACTCAAAATAGTGGGGAGATCTCAAAAAAGTGGGAGAGGGATAAATGGGGAGACCTTTTTGGTCAGCAGGGGTCGAAACCCTGAGGGGGAGTCCCCCGATCCCCCCTTCGTAAATCCGCTGGTAGCTATAAGTACAAAATAACAGTTTCTTTTAGTTCGGTAACCAACTTGAAAGCACACAAAACAAAACGAAACTAAAACAAATGAAGCGATGTTGTATGTTGAATAATAATGAATTATAATCCATTATAATGGATTATATTTCAATAAGTTTTGAAAAAAAACTTTCATAAAATAATCGATTATAATCGATTATAATGATTTATATTTTTTCGAAAAATAGTAAAATTATAATTAATTTTTAATCGATTATAATCTTTTTTTTTTGAAATTTATGGAGACTGACAATAAAAACCCATCATAATCTATTATTTTCTCTTTTTACTGAGTGCGGGCACCAGTTGACGTTTATGATACTGGATTTGATGATGCGCTTGATTTGTTTTGCGTTTGCTTCTCTACTAACCATGGGTGTATGCAATGGAGGACACTGTGTCGTTACATGTAATCAATTGTAGTCCAAGTCTATCAGTGGCAGATGCAACTGTTGCATGTCCTGTTGCTGCCGTATTTCAATTAAATTCCACTGGCGATCGTAGCTGTGAAGGTTGCCATAGCTGATTTCAGGTAGTCCAATTTTGACTAATTTTGGGCAAATTAAAATTAGGTTGCGGAATTTTTTGTCATTATACTTTCAGATAGCATCTGGCTCATGCCATCCATGATGATGTCATGTTCATCCTGTATTTTGATAAAGCTTTTGCTGATTATACTTAGCTCAAATCTGATGAGTGCTTCTGCAGCGATGTCTTTGGTTGTGTGAACAACGAGTTAGCTCGCAGTGTCGTATAATTTGTTGTGGATTTTTCTAAATTTCAATCTCTGTCTCTGTCCGATTTGTAGTGTTCCAAGTTGATTTCAGTAGGAGCTTATAGTACTCGTCTGAAGTAGTTCTCAATTTGAGAAATAACAAGATCCTTTTGTGGGGAGGGGGAGTTGCTTATGTGCATGACTAGCTCGTTGTCACTGATCATCGATGTGATTGCATGCCCGACCCAGCGAAGGTTGTTTTTCTAGAAAGAAATGTTATATAGGTTACCTAGCCAAATTTTTGTTTTTTCTGTTCAGAAAAGATTTATTTCATTTTTAGTTTAGAAGTAAACTATTTCTGGAAAGAAATAACCATAAATCAGTTTACTGCTCAGCCGCAACGAGATAAACATGCTTCGAGTATACAGAATAGCCGTAGCAATACAATGCAAATTAACACTTGCTATAACAAGTTTTGCTTCAGATTGCTAAGACTATCATAAAGTATCAAGTCATGTGGCCTAGCGTTTAGCAACTTCACCTTAAAGTTGCAGATCGGGACTCCGAGTCCCAGCCAGAGACATTTTTCCAGCTAGATTTTTAAAAATTTAGCTAAAAACTGATTTTAAAAAAGATGAGAAAAATAAAAATTTAAGAAAACCCCTGCTTTATTTAAACATTTCACAAAGAATTTCTGACCAGAAAATTAGATTAGATAATTTGTTCCAGGTCAGAAAAAAAAATTTCTCGGTACGGATGTGCTCTAGATATCGTTTCATGGGTAGTTCTAATTCCAATTTCTTTTGATGTAGGTAGCTAGACTTTAGCTAGGTGAGGCGAAGTGAAATAAACCCGTACCGAGAAACTTTTTCATATCTGAGCTGGAATACGTAATATCTAATCTAACTTTCTGGTTAGAAATTTTTTGTTAAATGCTTAAATAGAGCAGGGATTTACTTTACATTCTTGATTTCTCATCTTATTTCTGATCAGAATTTAGATAAATCTAGGCTATTTTTAGCTTGAAAAAGTTTTCCGGCTGAGTCTCGAATTCACGACCTGAGATTTTTCAGTCGGTTGTGCTAACGGCTAGGGCACATAACCTGATACTGAAGCATAGATTTAGCAAACTAATGCAAAGCAACATGTCTTGTAACAAGTGTTAATTTGCACTGTATTGCTACGGCTTTTGTGTATACTCGAAGCATGTTTATCTCGTTGCGGGTGAGCAGTGAACTAAATTCTGGTTGTTTCTTTCCAAAATTTTTTATGTCTAAACTAAGAAAGAAAAAGATCATTGCTGTACTGAAAATACAAAAAATTTGGCTAGATAATCTATGTAACATTTCTAAATAGAAAAATAGCCTTTGCTGGGTACGGGAAATATTGTGATTATTGTAAATTTTGAATAAGTATGTAAACACGAAAACTGAAAAAAAAAATTCAATCCAAGATAATTATTAGGTCCGATACATATAACAGATGGAAAGAATAAAGACCTGTCGTAAAGTTTATATTTTTGCTAAACCTAGGGGTCACGTTTTGAAGCCAATTTAATTTTTTTGTCCAAAACCATCGCAGAGAAACTGTCAGCAAGGTATTGAGCGAAACCGTGTTTTCTGTGGGATGTTTGAGCACAATGAACTACAAAAAGCTACAGGCAGGTCTATTAAATCTTGTTCTAAATTTTTTTTATTTATCACAAAATGGAATCTTTTTTGATTTATAACGATTTTCATTACTTGATTGTACGTGATGAAATTCAAATTTAGACAAATCGCCTTATTAGATTGTCGCAGTTTTTATTAGAATATGGTTTTTTATAAAAGTTTTCAGATTGAGTATTATCTTTGAATCTTTGTCTTCTTAGAAAAAATTCATTGTTTTTGTTTTTTGATTGCAACAAACTTTAGACTTTGAAAAAATATTGCGATGCTGAGGATCTCAATGGAAAATCTGCGGATTCCAGAATCAATGTGTAAAAATCCAGATAATACTATAGGTACCGAGCTTGGCGCCGTAATTTTAGATAGTCGAGTTTAGCATCAACTTCGATCTCAATTAGGTACAATTGAGTTCAAACAATGTCACTCAATTTCTTTCATCACTACTGTTTCCCTAACACAACGGCACAAGAGCTATCTTTTTTTGCTGTTTCTGCAATGGTTTTTGGGTGACTTTACAAGCCGCAAAAAATCACTATGACTTCACCTGGGAACTAAGAACCAAAAATTAGAAAACCTTTTTGATTGTTCTATTATTCATAACTACAAAATCCTTGTTTTCTGCCAATATAAAGGCGTGAATTCTATTTTGAAACTGAATGAAATTTTTGGTTCTAATACACATAATGCCTGTTACGTGGAGAAACTTCCATTGAACACCGTGTTAAGCTCGTTTTCATAACAAAGACCAAAAACTTTGGTTCTGAGTTTTATTTTGTCCAAAATTTGGGAAAACTCTCAAAATCAAGACAGCTCGTTCTTTCCTACAAAATGACCCATTGCTTTACACATTTTCTTTTCCCTTCAAGGTCAATTTTTGCATTTTTTTGTACTGGCCAGCAAAGCTGGATTCAGAATACTCAGTATAAAACTTAATAAAATGGTTCAAAACTACATAAGAATAAATGTTGGTTCGTTCGATAAATCAAATTAGTATTTTAGTTTGTCAGAAATTAGAATTGACATTTTTTTCACCTCATTATTTGGATATGAGATGTGACTGACTTTTTGTTTAAACTGAATCAGTTTGTAGAAAGATGCAATTAGAAGCAAAATATTTGTCAGTATAATTTCTTTTTGCTGATAACGAATTCGTTCATTGAAAAAAAATAATAAATTATTACCTTTAATGCTGAGTAATGAAATTGTCAATGAAAAAAGTTCATAAACGAGAAAGCGCTCAGTAAATTAAAAAGAAGTTTTTGATAACTTATTTCTATTGGAGACCCATAATTAATTTACACCGAAAAAGGAGGAAATATTTAGTTAGTTATACTTTTGAATAGGTTTTCGATCGCCAAAATATGAATTGGCTCACTAGAAAAGGTTGATTTCGATTAAGGAAAAACTCAATCATCAGCTAATCAAAAAATAAAAAGATGATTTGAAGAATCCCCAAGATGTTTTCAACAGATTTTGTTGCATTTATTCTAAATGGCGTTCTTAAAAAAGGTGAAAGACTTTTACTCAAGTTGCAGCAAATCTACTCAAAGTAGTGTTTTTACAGTGTTTTAGGAGAGCACCAGAAAATTACACAAATTTTGAAAATTGAATCCGCCCTCCCGCACTGACGAAACTCTAGACCCACTCTCGGTTGACGTCACGATTCAGGTTGTTTTGAAAATTTCCTTCTCTTACATTTTGTAGAGCTCATCAAATTTTGTTTCATTTTTGACTTCAAACTTCGAATATATGAATTGTATCATCTAAAAAACGAATGCTTTATTCACTGAACTATCTCAGAGTTGACGAAAAAATATTACTTCCGTGATTGTGTTAGAAAACTAAAACAATCTAGAAAATCAATTTTTTCTTTGATTTGGGACAACACTCTTAATTCAAAACGATGTCTACCAATACGCCAGAACTGACAACTCGGACTATTATTGATTTGGAAGACAAGGAGTTGCAGGCTTTTTTGACATCGCTTACTAGGACAAAAATGAGTCCTGAATACTTCGAAAAGGAACTCAACTTCGTAATCATGTCTGCTTCAATGATGGTAAGCAACTAGCTAACGTAACGCCATTTTTAGAAATTGTTGCCACACAAAGCATGGTGAACGGGTTCCGATAAGTTTATTGAGAGCCATGATGCAATAATAAAATTAAGGAGTCGATTGTTTACTATTATCCCTAATGAAACTTCATCTCTATCTTGTAAGATATTGTAAGAATCTGTATTTTTTGCATAAATCTGTGAGAATCTAGTAATAAGCTTCTGGTAAGTTTTTACAAAAGATAAATGAACCTTACAAGGTGGACGTTGTTCTGCCAGACTGATACAAATCATTCAAAATGTCATACGTTCTTCCAAGTGTATTTGTTTGCATATACTTGGAAATTAATTTATTATGATTATTATCATGGTAAAATATACATTTTTTTTCTGTTTTTTCCTTGTTTTTCTAATTTTATAATAATGTAGAATGCAATGAAACGAGACTGCATGAATCATGAGAATGTAGGGCGCTGGTATTTAAAATTTAGTGGGTGGTTTTTACAGGGAAAAAATCTACAGAGAAATTTCAAACGACTAAATTAGAAGTTTTGAAGTTTTATTCTTCCTCTAATTTTGCTTTTAAAACAGCTTTTTGAAACTATTTGGTAGCGTGCTTGTATGTAATTTATATTTAAAGTTGGCGCAATACATATTCTCGACCTTTTTTACACAGATATTTTTAGTTTAAATTCTTTCTTGAAGATACAAAGAAGTCAATCAAATCTTAACTTCATAACTTTAGTGGTTTTTATAGGGTCCGTTTGCATTGGTGTCTATTCTACTAAACTTCTATTTCTTGGCTATAATCTACAAAACAGAGGAGCTTCATAAACTGGATTACTTTCTCATATCTGTTCAAAGCGTGTCAGACCTCGTCTTCACAGGTTTAATCTAACAATGATCGTTCCAAAAAATCAATAACTAAGATCTTAAGAGGTTTGTTTCTGAAAATATTCTTCAAAAACTGTTGATTTGTGCGTCTTAACTTCTTAAAATATTCTAACGTTTAAAAGGCATCATATTTTATTGTCAACGCTTTTTTGACTCAGAGACCAATTTTGTTGCTCATTTCAATGTTTTGTGTTTTTGACTGTGCATTTTGTGTTTTTGACTGTGCATTTTGAGAGTTTTATCGACTGGTAGCGATTCATTACCTATTCACATAACGAGGGCAAACGGTGCGCTCGATAAGCGCACAACAAGGTGTCTGTAATTCACTGGAATCTAGATACAAATCTTTAAACATGTTTCAAAACGTAAGTGGATTCCACTAACAAGTTTTCCATGGAATCCGCGCACAAATGACAATATTTTTTTTGCAAATTAATTGTGTTTCGGAATGTGCAACGAGCAAAATAGTTAGTTGTTCCGGATTCCGCAACAGTAAGCGGATTGCACAAACTTATGCAGACTGAGCAAAAGCTCTATAGAATAGTGTCTGCTTGAAAAACTAATGAAAATTTAATTTAAATTTTTGAGATTTTCTTTCTAAAACAATCCGTGTAAAGTACAAAACTTTATAATTCGCAAAGATGATTTGCATAGTTAGCTAGTTAATAATCCCTAATTGGCTAGTTTATCAAACATTTAACCCGATAACACGATCACAGGTGAAAAATAATTTTTTAGTTTGCAGTCACGCCAATAAAATTTTTCGGATGGTACAAAAAAATTCGTTGAAAATTGCTAATTAGAAATCAAAATTTGTTTGTGAGAAAAAAAACGACCCGAGCTCAAATATTCCGTCACTTTCTTCAAAAGTCTGACAAAGAAATGCAAAAAGGTACTAAAATAGTATTATTGATATATTACCAGAAATAGATCAGAAATCTCAGCTATGTCAACTGAAAAACGCAACGTGTTGCAACTTTTGAAAACAAACTCTAATAAGTTTGACTGAGTTTGACAGATTTACTATTGAGTGATGAGCAATATGATTACTGTCGCCTTTAACAATAACAATAATTACATCAGTGTGGAATTAATTTAAGAAACCATGACAAAGAGGTTCTGACTTTGAGAGTAGTGTGTCACTTATGATCTTCCTTCCGACTTTCGAAGAAAGTATTGAAACGTTTGTGCTCGGGAATGTTTTTTTTTCTGTCTAGACCAACTTCGACTGTTTAATTTTTTATGGCAATATTTTTTATACCATCTGAATAATATGTTTGTCTTAAGCTCAAATTCAAAAGCTGATTTTTGTGATTTATTTTCGTAGATAGTGATGGGGGTTTAAAGATTGGCAGTGCTATATATTTTGTGATTTTAATGAGTAAGCGGCGATTTGAATCGGCTTATACATCGTTTCAAAATCTTTTGAGTCATGTTGTTCATTTTAAGTAAAACGTTGCTTTATGTTACGTAAGTCAATTTTTATTTTAAATCTAGAGTGGGTACTGATTTTCAAAAAAAAAATCAAATTTGGCTCATTAAACTTTTTCTATTTTTTATTGAAAATTTCATAACTTTTTTAACTGAACAATATAGATATTAAAAGTCGGTGGAAACACTCAGAACGTCGCCTTGATACGAAGAGTCGGCTCTTTTCAACTTTCCCTCCTTTTTTAATTTCTGTTTTGAAAAACTAATTTTACGTTGCCATAAGGTAATGAAATCTTGCAAAGTGAACCTTACTGTTTTCAAACAAATATCTTCTTCATACCATGTAATATCACGCATTTAGCCATAATATTACGTTAAAAAATTTAGAAAATGGAAAATTTGAAATGTGGGGGGAGTGGAAACGAGCCGAGCAGTCTTGATATTCAGATTTTTTAAAAATAAATCTTCGTGCGTCCCACCACGTGCGTAAATGACTATTTTAACATGCCATGAGCCCTCTGCTTGTTTAATACTTCAATGCTGAAACGAACCTGTTTATTCATCTCAATTGATACATTTGAGACATACTTGATTTATCTGAGTAAACTCATTCTGATTTGATTTCACTGAAAAACTTACAAACAGCTCAAAATCTTCTTTACATTCTTAAAAACCAAACAAAATACCGTTTGAGGAACTTGTTTTGAACTGTAAAACAGAAAAAAAACGAGTTCCAACATGCTACCAAAAAAATAACACTTTTTTTCTCAAACCTTTAATTTGTTTTCAAATGAATTTCAATATGAAAAAAGTATTCACTAAGCTCAAATAGACTAAATCGTTTCAATAATTTTCAGATCAACCACTTGATTCGACTCAAAAGTATGAAACCGTCTTTATCGCTGAAAAGTTCACGTTTTTTTCTTTCAATCCTTCCCAAGACAATCTAATGGCCTCATTTTCAGAAGTTTCATCGGTTGTGTGTCCATGGGAGTCTATCCCTGTTGCCAACTTTCAAACCAGCCCCGGCAGGGGATAAACCATGTCAAAGTCTTGAAGGGATTGTCCTGGACTTCCTGGAGCAGTCTAAAAGTCCAGGCCTGGACTTCATGATTTTTTTCTAGTTCAATTTTCAAATTCGCAAACGTTTTCGCGCCTTTCTACAACAACATTTAGCAAAACATCCCCACAGTTTCAATAGCAAAAATCTACCAGAAAGTTGCATCTGTAGATTCAGCAATGAAAGTGAAATTTGAATTTCGCATAAATTTAAGGTAACAAAACACAATTTTCTCTATGTAGGTAGATAGTTTCTACTCACAAAAAGGCGTTTGAAATAATTTTAGATGATTGCTTTTCACAGTTATGGCTTATCTTACTTTAAAAAGCAATTAAAAACTAACTGTGGCTCCACGCACAACATTCATTCAAACTTTTTGTACTTTTGAGCGAAAAGATTTTGCCTGATCTACAAATCAAAAATTACATTTTGCATGCATTTTTTGAATGCAATTACTGCGGAAAAAGCTTGTTTGAACCTAAAAATGACTTTGCGGCGAATGAAAATATAACAACAATTTATCTTTTAATTTCTGATTTCCTGGATGCGTACCTTACAGATGCATAGTCCTTTTTTTCAAGGATGTTTTTTCTTAGAACTCCTAGCAGTACTCTTAGAACTCTTAGAGTTTTTGGATGGCCCCTTCCAGAAAAGCCAGGATTGCCCTAGACGCTTTATGCTCGTGGCAAGTAGTTCAAACTTCCGCTGGCATTTGAAATAACTCGTGCTAGTATATTTAAGGAAACTTCGAGTTTTTCAAGTTCTCGGATATTTTTCCAATCATTGAATTGATTATGCTAAAAGTTATCTGCAGTATCTTCGAAGAAATTTTGTTGTAGAATTTTCTGCTATTTTAAAAGTTTTTGTAGAGCTTTGCTTGAAATCATCTTCACGTTCAATTGAAAAATTCATACCCTTCCGAAAAAAAATTCTGGAAACTTTTTGCTAAGGTTTCAATGCACTTTTAAAGCCCTCTAAAAAGTTACCAGTGTACAATCTCTAACCCTAAATGACCTATCGTGGAATGTCCTCCTCAAGCATGAATACTTTTGAAAAATAGTTCCTCATAAAACAAGCGCGCTGAATATACAAGCGTGCTGCAGAAAACCTTTAAATTCGAAAAGCTATTCTATCCTGCTAATAGCGTAAAATATTAATCATAATTTGGTATCGACAACTTTTTGACTATGTAGATCAATTTATTTCCCTAAAGTCAATTTCTGCAAAACCTGTATTCCCCGCTCCTGAATGGATTGGCGGGTGGGGGATTGTACGGCAATCCTGGCTTTCTGGAAGGGGCCATCCAAAGAGTTTTATTAGTACTGCTGGGAGTTCTAAGAAAAACATCCTTGAAAAAAAAGGACTGTGCAGCTGTTAGGTACCCATCCAGGAAATCAGAAATTAAAAGATAACTTGTTATTATATTTTCAGTCGCCGCAAAGTCATTTTTAGGTTCAAACAAGCTTTTTCCGCAAAAATTACATTAAAAAATGCATGCAAAAATTGCATGCAAAAATGTAATTAGACAAGTAGTCAAAAAAGAATTAATCGTTTTTATGAACTAATTTTTAAATAGCTTCTTGTTAAGTTTTCAGCGAGCTTTTCCTGCAGGACCTCCTTTGATTTTTATATAATAACGAAACTTCTTTTTACCTTTCTTACCAGGGCTAGCGAGTCTAACTGCTGCTGTATTGGACACTTGGTCTGGGCTAATCTACTACTGTGTTGGCTCTGAGCTGTTGTACGACGGAACCTGGGACTCTAACTCGTAAATGAGTTCACAGTCCGAGAAAGTAGTTTTATGAATGAAAATTAATTGCAATCAATGTAGCTGAGAAGGTATCGCATAACTTTTCTTTCGCGAAAATCATTAGCGCTACTTCTTACGTATGTTTAAAGCAACTCATTTAAAGAGTAAGCTAAGCGAAGTATTTCATGGTTAAGTTTGCCTTCAGACGAATCTAAAGGTGGCAAACATATCAAATTTTTGTGTTTTTTTTTCGATTAAGGTTTTCCTGTCGAAAAAAAATCAAAATATTTTGAAAAAAGGTAGAAAGTTTTCAAGCTGGTTTTAATCATAATGTTTTTGATTGGTTACATAGATTTTTACTGAGTGAACTGAATGAACTGATCTGTTCAGGGGTTACTAAACTTGTGCTCATTCACGAAACTTAAAGTATCTCATTTGGTTGCTCTTTTTGCTAATTTAATTTGTCCACCAGTCATTTAAACTTAACCAAGTTTGGCATTAATTTACCGCTTTTTCATAATAAAATTGTGATTGATAATTCATGTCATGAATGTCCTCCGGGAGGTCAATCAGTTACAGACCACAAAAGGATTGGGTTTTGTTCTAATCGGAAGTGATGAGCTTATATTTTGTTATAATAACCTAAATTTTATAATGTTATTTTATATTGCTTATTATTTAACAATTTTGTCATCAATAATTTTGAAACCATTAACACAAAAAATTCAGATTTCAAAACAGGCACAGACCTAAAGTTTTTATTCAGTTTTGTTAATTATTTGCTTTGTCCACTCGGGTTGTTCAAAATTACGTAACATACAGGTTTCAAAAATGACAAAACTTCTTGTCATGTTCTTCAATACACTTCCGTACGTTCAGGAATTTATATGGAAACTCTATGACGAGTTTTTATCCATGCAAGAAAGCTGTATCCCATTAATTAAAAAATGCTATTTTTTTCTTGTTTTTTCATGTGTTTGTCAGCAAACTGCAATAACCAAAAACTTTCTCAACTTCCATTAAAATTTGAGGAATAATCTCAATGATAAATTGCTTTTGGATATGTTTCAGAAAACCCACTTGTTTTGTGGCACTAGTTTTTATGATATATGGCTTTTGGATATTTTTTCATCTTTGTTAAAGTAATAAAATTTCCTCGGATTTGTAAACATCAGCAGAAAGTTTTATATACCATTAAGACTTTTATATACCATCTCTATTTAAATTTTAACTGAGGGATAAAAATGATTGTTGTTCTTTTTTGACTTAACTAAGTCAAAAACCACATTATACAATAACTTATCGCACCATATCATTAATCATAAAAAAATTGGAATCACCCAAAAAATCAAAGTCTTTTGTATGAATGGTTGTTTTACCTAAAAAACTGAACCTGGACTAACTTACAGACAAAAATGAAGATAATCGGAATTTGCCGATAAGATGTCTATAGAGCACTACTGAGATTAGTTGTTTCAATATCTCTTTTACATGATTGTCGAAGTGTTTTCTGAGAGTATTAATCTTGAAAGGGATTGCGTAAAAATTTTGACTGTGATACTATAATGTGGCTGTTTTAAAAAAACAATACGTAGCACTAGCATCTGAAGGGAAATAACAAACTTAATTGGCTCATTATTTTTGCTCAAAATAATTATCTTTTCATGTTTTTGATTATTCACAAAAATAGTCAAAATATTCACAAGAATGGTCAAATTCAGTCACATACAAGATAATACTGAATTGACGTAGTTCCAGAAAACTCTATATTAGTCTCGGCGTCCATTTCTTAGTTAAGACTTACTATTAACTTGATCACAAATCAAATCAGAAACAGAAAAATTGGGTCCTCCTCAACAGTTAGCTTTTTTGTTCCCTAAACTTACAGAGTTGATAAAAAGCTTATCAGGGTCTAATCAACCTCAACCATCTTTTGTAGATAATTATATTCAAGCTAATAGTTACCTGGGATAAATAAGCGGTTTTGTATACAAAACCGTTTTTATTTAAATATTGAATCTTCTTATTTTAATCTTATTAATCACGCAAGATAGTTAAAATATAATTAATCTGAACTTGCATACTTCGTTATTTTTCGACAACATTATTTTAAGAATTTTTTAATGGTAAACTTATAATTTCCATTTCACTAAACGGTAAGAATTTTTCTTTTCCATCATATGTGAGCAAGTTGTTGAGGACAGACGAGCTCAATGCCAGACTAGTGAAATACCAGACCAAACTCAAGGTCAGACTTGAGCAATAGAAACCTAATTAAAGGTCAACTGGTATAAAACTCAATGCACTCAGACAAGGTCAACTGGTCTGCTGGTATTTGATAAACTAATTAATTAACTGGTAATTAATTAACTGGTACTATTTGATGCTCAGTTTGTCGTGTCATTTTAAAAACACAATCTCAATTCATTCTTCAACAATCAGTATCTCTTCTCTCTCCTCAGTTGAAACCTCAGATAACTCTCAAACCTCTATCCCCTAGTCCTACTTGCTCTAACTCTGAATCTTAACAGGTTATGGGCCCAGATTTCTAAACTTTTTGATTTAATAATTATTTGATTTCTGTCAGAGTTTTTTTTAGCTTTTATCTAGCCTTTAGCAAAGCAGAGATGGACTTGAAACTGGCTGGATTCAGTGGAAAGTCTGAAGATTTTCCAGCTTGGTCGACGAAGTTTGTGGCACTGATGCATACCAAAGGCCTGTTCAGGACTGTGATGGGCAATGACGATCTACCAGAAGCTGAACCTACGCTACCTGAGAATCCGAATGCTGACCAGATGACGGCGTACAACACCAAGATGCAGGAGCGAGCTGTGCTGATCCAGCAGAGGAAAGACAACCGAAACACAGTGTGGTCACATCTAGCTCTGGTCCTGAACAACACCACACTGATGTACATCAAAAACGACTGCGTGGCTGCGGATGGCTATGGCGATGGGACGAAGGCCTGGAGACTGCTGCAAGAGAAGTTTTGCAGTGTGGAGAGGCCTACAGTGGTCAGTCTAGTAGGCCAGCTTGCGAAGCTGCGCCTAGGATCAGAGGAGGATCTCGATGACTACTTCGTTCGAAGTCAAGAGCTGATGACGCGGCTGAGTGAAGCTGGGGAAGCAATTACGGACACACTCTTCAATGCGCTCGTGATCAACGGACTGCCTGACAGCTTTGAGCATTTCGTGGTGCAGGAGAGCTTCCAGCCGGCCAAGACTTTTACAGAGCTGAGAACGAGGTTGAGGAACTATGATGACTCGAGACGAGCTCGATGTGGAGAGAAGACTGGGAATGGACACATAGCTATGCAAGCTGTGAGGAAGAAGAAAGGAGCGTCGGGTGGTGGCTGTTTTGTGTGCGGTCAGAAGGGTCATTTGGCAAGAGATTGCAGATCCAGAAGTGACAGTGGTCAATCTGGTGCTCGAGGCAGTGGCTCGAATGAAGCAAGTGGTCCAACTTCAAGGAAGCAAGGGTGCTTCAAGTGTGGACAACAAGGACACTTTGCAAGGGACTGCAAGCAGGCAAAGACAGGGTTCTTCAGTTGTTGTGCAACAACCTCAATGAAGGGAGATGATCTCATTGTGGATACGGGATGCACCGATCATGTAGTGCGCGACAAGGCTGTCTTCTCAAGCTTTGAGAAATGGGATGAGGGGACAACAGTTGAGAATCCGAACGGTACAATATCAAAGATTGAGGGCATAGGCTCGGTGGAAGTGGACATACGAGACTGTCAAGATGTGACGAGGAGCTACACTTTCCACAATGTGCTGTTTGTGCCGAGCTACAACGTGAATCTGATGAGTGTGAGCTCAGCAATAGCTAGAGGGTCTAGTTTCAGCTTTACATCAGACTCTTCTCATCTTGTGGCACCGGATGGTCGACGGCTACCAGTGAAGCAGCGCGGCAAGCTTTTCTTCCTGGAGTGCAAGTTCAAGAGGAACGCGATGACTCTAGCTACGAAAGCGAAGATGGAGACAAGTAGTGCAATGCTGTGGCACCGAAGGCTGGGGCATCTCAACAAGCATGATCTAATATCAGTTGTTGATGTCGGCGAGCTAGGGTTCTGCGAAGTGTGCACAGCTTCGAAGATGCACGAAGTAGCAATGCCAAAGAAGACAGAGAACAGGGCAACTGCAGTGGGGCAGCGGGTCTTCAGCGACATCCAGGGACCATTTGAAGTTGCGAGCATGCATGGAGCGCGCTATGCCGTGAGCTTCATTGATGACTTCAGCCGTCTGGCAGTGGTCAAGTACCTGGTTAAGAAGAGCGATACTCTTTCGAAGTTCAAAGACTTTGTAGCTGAGCACGGAACACCGAAGTGCTTGAGAACTGACAACGGAGGTGAGTATTCGTCGAATGCTTTTCGGATGTTCTGTAGAGAAATGCAGGTGAAACAGGAGTTTACAGTACCTAATACTCCGCAACAGAATGGCGTGGCAGAGAGGTACAACAGGGTGATAACTGAGATGACTCGATGTCTACTGGCCGATGCAAAGCTCTCAAAGATGTTCTGGGTACGAGCAATGTCAACGGCAGTCAGGGTTCGCAACTTGTGTCCTACATCCAGCAATGAGCATCGCATTTCATCAATGGAGATGCATTATGGGAAGCCATCGAAAGTCAACTACCTGCGAGTGTTCGGATGCCTGGCGTACTACCTGGACAGAGGAAACCGGCGGAAACTGGATCCGAAAGGCAAGAAGAGCAAGTTCATTGGTTATGACGAGGAGAGCAAAGCCTACTTGCTGATGGACCTGGAGACAAAGCGAGTGGTACGAGCAAGAAGCGTGACGTTCAATGAAGACATCATTCCAGACGACTTTCTGGTAGACAGTGAGCAGTCACAAACACTGGGTCTATCAATCGAGGGATGCATTGATGTAGAGGAAACTAGCACGAAGACCATCACTGAGTCTACCAATAAAGCGAATGATAGTGGAGCAGCAGCTTCAGTGGGGGTTACGGAAGATGACCCAGTCGAGACTGAAGAATTGGAACC